CACAGCTCCTCCTAGTTTAGTATCATCGGCAAACTTACTTAATGTGCATTTGATTCCTGTATCCAGATCATTTATAAAAACATTAAAGAGCACTGGCCCTAAAATCGAGCCCTGGGGAACCCCACTGGTGACTGACCGCCAGCCTGATGTAACCCCACTTACTATAACCCTTTGAGCCTGACCTGTCAGCCAGTTGCTTACCCAACATGTTATGGTTTGTCTAACTGTGTGCTGGGCATTTTGTCCAAAAGGATATTGTGAGAGACAGTATCAAAAGCTTTGCTAAAATGCAAAAATAGCACATCTACTGGCTTCCCTAGGTCAGCTAGATGGGTGACCTTGTCATAAAAGGAAATCAAGTTGATTTTCCTGTAATATCTCAGTGTGGCAGTTGTGTAGACTGTGTGTTGTATAAAACATTCTGTGACTCAATTCAGATACATTTAGTTAAAAAATACTTGTTTCATTGAACTTGCCACATTTTTCCCGAGCAGCTATTGTGGAGCTTTGAAATCAGTGGGAATATCTCTAGAATACAGGTAGATTATTTTGGAAGGCATCTAGTTTAGACCCTGTTTTGTACTGATTTTTTGGGGGGAGAGGGAGGGTATTTTTTCTCATAGAAAAAAAAATTGAAGTTTCTTCCAAGGTTCTAATTGGAGCCTGCACTTTGATTTACACTTCAGATTAGCAGAGGGCAGCTGAGATAAGCTCAGATAAACTGAGGGCAGATTTCACTTTAACATGTTAGAAGCCTTCAAGGGATTTCTGCTGTTGTGGAAGGTGATTCAAAATCCATTAAAACAGACAAACTCCAGTTGCTTTGAGCTGAATTCTTAAGCATGCTAATGTTCTTATTCTCTTGAAATGGTTTGTTATCTTGGGGCATGAGTTCCAAGAGTTAAATGTTTTACCTACTTGGGAAGAATATGATCAATCCATTCAAGATGTGAAATGCATAGGTTAGAATAAATTTTGGAGAAGATTCATTATTTAATTGAAGTATTCCCATGATAAAACCTGTCAGATCACTCTTTAAACGCTTAAATGTTTTCACATGCAGTTTTCTTTTCCTGAAATGTTGATAATGGTGTGATATTTTCTTCTTTTGCCACAAAGCCTTCAGCACAGGAGCCGGGATGCTCATGGGTGTTCTGAGGTAATCTAATAATATATGACTACCTTAAAATGAAAATTCTGTGCAACTTAACTGTTTATTTTCAGATTAGGTATATACACATAGTATATAAGTATGAATTACTTAACTGAGAATGTGACAAGCTTAAAAAAATGAATCTAATCTTCTTCTGCCTGTCAGACGTAAATTGAGTTTGAGTAGGATGATGGTTCTTTTTGTAACTCTGAGCTAATCTTAACAAGGACAAAAGTAGGAGAGGATCACTGGACTAGTTTTGCCCATAGAATGGAGAGCTAGCAGAGTTCTTTTGGAAAGCTGGGGTGGTGACTTGTATCTGTAATATCTGTTTATTTACACAAATTATTTTGTACTAATGCCTAGGTGAATATAAGAAACAATTCTGTGAAACCAAATCAGCACAGATCTTACCCATGCTCATACAAGGACTGCAACGGAAAGGAGCTTTTGCCAGTTTTATGTCCCTACTGTGAAAAACATTTTTGTCTAAGGTGAGTGGAACAGAGCGTTTAAACATCAATACTTATTCATTAGCATATGGAAAAGGTAACAAAAGTTTTACACTGTTGTTTACAGACACCGGCATCAATCAGACCATGAATGTGAGAAGCTGGACACACCAAAACCTCGAATGGCTGCCACCCAGCAGCTAGTTAAACATATTATAGGCAAGTACAGTGGGATATATATTCTACAGTTTTCTTCAGAAGGCTGTTTGAGCTTGTGACCTCTGAGGGTTCAGGTTTGGCCAAATAAGCAGAAAGGATGGGGGTTCCTTGTTTAAATAGCCCTAAACTCACATGTCAGCATGTGATACTGTTCATCTAGACTGAGACAAGACAACAGTAGCATATGTCTATAAAGAGAATCTCTGAAGATTAAGATCTTTAAAGATCTTTTTAAAGATCTAAAGATCTTTAAAGATTTTTTTTAAAGATCTAAAGGGTTTCTTTCAGAATTATTGTCTTGTTCTCATTCTACAAGTACTACAATGTAATGAATTGTACCTAGCCATTATTATTTGCATATTAATTCAGGTGCAAATAATGCAGTTGTATTGTATTGGGTGCGCATGCCAATCTGCTGGGATTATACCTTCACAACCAAGATGGAAAAAAAATGTGAGTCTACAATGTAATGTTTTGCAGCTTTTAAACAAGCTCTAGGACAGGAAAGAGAATAAACAGCACTGCCTAACTGGACAGTGGGGTTATGTGTAGAAAGGAGGACCTGAAACTGTTGCCATATGAATGCTGTGATGGCCACAGGTGTAGAAACTTAGGAATTGATATCTATTTGGCTTTTGCAACCTGTGTTTACCTCGTGATAGTGTTCACCTGCTTTTCAGTGTAAAGGAGTTCTGCTAGAACTGTAACAATTCCAAATATTCTTGAATAGGAGGAGTACCTGATACCTCATGGCCTCGGGAGGACATGAAAGGGGTGGGAACCTTGGAGATATAATGAGGCCCAATAGGCTAATTCCAAGACATGTTCAGGAGGCAGTCTGAATCATCACACTAACAGGAATAATATTGTTCTCAGATTCTAAAAAAAATGAGGAAGCAAAAAGCAAAAAACGTAAAGGAGCAAAAAACAGTGAGACAGCAGCAAAAGTGGCATTAATGAAACTGAAAATGCACGCGTGCGGGGACAAGTCCTTGCCTCAGGTCAGTCATGTTTGTTTTCAATAATTGAATTCTCAAAGAAAATGGGAAATTTTCTAAATTTCTTGTTCTTCATCTAGTTCCTTCAGTTTGGATTTGGATTTAATTCTTCAAGCCCACAATCATTTATATATCTGTTCCAGCCTGGTACCCAAAAACAGTCTCGCTAGTCTTATGTCTGTTATAAGGTGTCTGTGTAGAGTTTGGAGCAGTCGGGTCAAATTCCTTTATTTTATAGCGGAAACGTATTTGCCTGCCATACAGCTGTCACCCAACACTGCGGGGACAGACAGGTAAAAACAGTCGCTAGTCTTATGTCTGTTATAAGGTGTCTGTGTAGAGTTTGGAGCAGTCGGGTCAAATTCCTTTATTTTATAGCGGAAACGTATTTGCCTGCCATACAGCTGTCACCCAACACTGCGGGGACAGACAGGTTCTTTTGGGCATCCTTGGCAGAATGGTGATGGCACTAAGTTGTTACAATTAAAGCTTTATTATTTTAACAGAATTTGATGATCAGCGTAGCATAGAATTTTATGATCAGAGTAGCACAGGATTTTTATAAGCAGAATCAGTGTAGCACAATTTTACAAGTAGTGTAGCACAAAATTTTATAGCACCTCCTAATCACCTCTGCAGATCAGGTCAAATCTTAATACTTGGCTTGCAGCTTGCAGTTCACAGTCATCATCTAGACTTGAAACAGGTAAAAGAATACGAGTCACTCAGTCCTCGGAGGAAGCAGATGACGCTGGAGGCATCCCTGGCCGCTGGGGGATCACGGGTTTTGCAGTCCAGCAGCAGTTCTGGTCCAAGACCCGCTTAGGGCTTGTGACTGCTTGATTTTATGGACAGTGGTCTGTGTGCTGCTAGGCTTCCCTGTTCTGTGACGGGGTCATCACCACCGGGTTGGCTGGGTGCCTGGGACCTTCAAGATGGGTAAGGAGGGGAGTAATCGGCCTGGCACCCAGGGAGCTTGAGGCTGATAGGGAGGGGGAGAAGTCGTCTGCCTGGTGTGCAGGACCTTCAGGGCCATCAGGAGAGGGAACTGATGCGTGACCAGCTCGGTCACAGAGAATGGCCGTTTGCCGTATAAAATGGTGTTAGTTATGCTAACCGTATTACCAGGGGCCAGGAGCAGGGGGTACCGGTCACGCATGGCAAACCCTTCTCAAAGGGATGCTTTTTATGCTGGGTACTGAGAGGCTTCTGAGAGAGACAGGACACAGCTTGCACAACTCTGTACCAGTCAGATTGAACCTGTCTTATACGAAACTGAGCTTTGTGTTCTGCAGAGCTCCATTCTTATTTCTGCTACTCAGATTTAATAGACATTTATTACATTTCTGGATGAGGTATGAAGGGCCTGAGGTCAGTTGTTCCTGCCTTTGGGTTGGAAAAGAGTTTTGACAGTTGCTTTATGTTTCTTTCAGCCTTTAATGTCTTTGATTCTTGAAGTATTTCACAGAGTCCTTATTGTTTTTTCACTACCGTGGCCAGTCAAACCTGGTGTTCAAGTCTTTTCCACATATCAGGATTATGCTGGGTTTAGAAACACCTTGATTTTTTCATCTAGGGTTTCACTTTAGATCTGTACTTACGTATCCTTTTAAAAGAACTGTATTTAAATTACTTTTCACCACATTGTTATGTTGGAGCACACCAAGTTTAGGCCTGTTATATTGATTTTATAATACTGAAAACATTCTATGTGATAGTCTTATTGTTAGGTCTTATCTTAGTAGAGTACATTTAATTATTGTTTTTAAAACAACTACAGCTATTCCATTACTGAGTCCTCTTACAAATTTCTTTTTTTATACTTCATCATGCTTAGAAATAAGGTAACTCTGCTTAGGCAGAAGTCATAATACAGAGACCTGCTTGTAGTATTCTTCACGGATAGTACCACTTCAATAAATATGTGCTGGAGGGAAAGTGATTAATTTCAAATACTGTGGAACATAATTTAAAAAATCCACCCTCAATATATATAAGAAAATTTTAAAAGTTGCTTCCTAATTCCAAAGCCAGTAAGCTCTAAAAAGTGTAGCACAAATTACTGTATGCTCATTTCTCTTACTATTCATTTTTTCATTTGGATATTAATTGTTTTATCATCTAGAATAGCGATAATTCTAACACTGATAAATTAAGCCTGTTAACCTTCAGCACCTCTCTATTTAAATTGCTTCCTAGACTCCTAGCTGCCTTCTGCCCAGCTTGTTCCAGTTTGATGACACATTTTTTGAATATGAAGTTTCTGGAATGCCTCTTAGGCACATAGTTCTCTCATCAATATAGAGAAGATTGACACATTTTTCTTGGAGGTGCACAGCAAAAGGACATGGGGCAGTGGGCACAAGCTGCAACATGTGAAATTCCAGTTAGATAATAGGAAGAAAAATCATAGTTAGGGTGGTCAGACTTTGGAACAAGCCAGTCTGAAAATTTGTGGAATCTACATCTTTGGGGTGTTCAAAACTTGATTGAATCTGACTTGGAGCAACCTGATCTACCTTTATAGTTAGGTCCAGCTTTAAAGTTCCCCTGCTTTGAGCATGGTTTTGGACCACGTGACACCAGAGATCCTTCCTGACCTTTCTTATTCTATGATCAAGAAAATCAGACTATCTTAAAAATATAATTTCTCTGGCCTCTTTGTTCAGATTAGTTTTCTGCAGATGATTGCTTCTTTTGGTGTCAAACCTGGTACGAGTTACCCCTCTTGAGACTGACCAGCTCAAAATAGGAGGGCCATACTGCAAAATAGTGTTAGTTACTGTGTCCCTGACTGATCGATATTTTCTTGGATATGGCACAGAAATTCCAGGAGGCATATCCTGTAGAATGACAGTAGAATGAGCTGTTTTGTGAATTCAGTTTCAGTGAACCGTGGGAGACTGTCTCATCATCCTTAGAACTGGGGGAGCAACTGTAGGAAGGTGCCGGGGCACTGATAGCAGTTGAGTGATGTTAGCGTGTGTCCACAATAGGACAGCTGTTGTGTTAGCTGTTTTACAAGTTGTGGTCATTCACATTTTAGCAAGATTCAGGTCCTGCTTCCCTTGCCCCTTTGTAATATTCCTGGATGTTAAAAGATTTTCTTGTGTGTGGAGAGCACTCAAGTTTTGAGGAAAATGCACAGGTTGAAATTCAGACTCAGTTTTATGAACATAGCTGGGGGAAGGGCAGTTCCATATTTTTCTAGGGAAGGCATAAATAAATCCTTTAAAAAGAAGACTTCTGTCTTGTTTGATAGTGTCTGGCTTGGACTCAGCAAGTGTGGTCTTAACTGATGAATACACCAGTCATGCTTGCTCTGTGTCTTCTGTTGAATGTCAAGAAGAAATAAACCTGAAGAAGGGATTGTCCCAATCCTGTTCAAAATCTCTCCCTCGTAGGTTACTCTTGAAATTTCTTAAACAAATGTTTCAGTCTAGTAGATACTGAAAGAGCATTTAGTACCTGAAACATTTGTTTAAGAAATTTCTAGTAGATACTGAAAGAGCATTTAGTACATGAAAGGAGGAAGAAGAGGATAAAGGATTAGCTGGCCATGACCGGAATGTTGGTTTGTGAAGCGGGCATTTCTAGTAGGGTGAATTGTTCTGTTTTAACCACCTTTGCATTCCAATTTGAGACATTTTACTGCTGCCAAAAGCCAGCACTGCTTATTTAAACTCACCTTTTTCTTCCCAGAGCAGTCGTTATTCTCTAGTAACCCCAGGGCAGACACCTTTTCATGTCTGTCTATATATAACAGTCTAGCTGTGGGACTCTGGCAAAAGACGTTCTCTCTACCTTTCTGTAAGTTACTGTCCGTCATATATGTGCCTACGGCTGGAGGGGATTGGACTTGACGATCTCAGTCATTTATATTCTGCAGTAAAATGGGGCTTTGGTCCTGATGGACTAGAACAAGTTTCAGTTGGTAATTTTTGGGTTGAAGTTTAAGTTTTTTACTGAAAAACTATTAGATGTGTATGACTGGAATTATGTGTTTCTTCTGTGAATAATTTTTTGTTTATTTGTCATGTTTTTCTAGACAGAAAGAATTTACTTTCAAGTATTTTTACCGAAGGGGAACAAAGAGAAAAGCAAGCCCATGTTCTTTTGCAGTAAGTGGAGTATTGGCAAAGTAGTAGATTTTGCAGCTTCCTTAGCAAGCCTTAAAAATGACAACAACAAATCAACATCCCAGGTAAATCAGTAATAATAACAAATATTTTCCAGGTTGTTGGGTTTTGATTTTGGTTTTTTTTTTACCCTTTTGTCCCTCCCCCACTCCACTTCTTGCATCTCAGATAGGCAAATCTTGATGTTAATTTCTGTGCTGTTTGTCTTACAGAAATTGAGATTATGCCATACTGCCTCTGGAGAAGCCTTGCCATTTGAGCACACATTGGAAACATGGCTATCTAATAAAGACTATCCATTGTACAATGGTGGAAATATAATTTTGGAGTATCTTGATAATGATGTTCTATTCATAGAAGATACAGAGTCGTACTTTAGTTAATCAGTAAATTATCACAAACAAAAAAAATCTTTGATTTTTTTAGAAGTGTGGTATTCAAACCAAGTCCAGTTTTCTTTTAAAATCACTGGTATGCCAGAATCTGTCCTCAGTTGTAAAGACACAGTTCCCATCAATTTCTCAATTGCTTGACTGACAAAGAACTATGTCCTGAAAGGAAAATTAGTTATTATAATAACTAATATTACAGATACTCACTTTCTAGAATAAATTCTTGCTTTATTTAGCTGTATAATGTCAATAATGTTTTCTTAAATTTTATATTTATTTTTGTGTAAATGATGGGAAAAGTATGTATTGAAATCAATAAATAATGAAAATCTAAACTTGCAGTGTGTCAGTTGTCTGAAGGAAAGAAACACATTACACTATTGCAGCATCTTTTCTACATCTACAAGAACAGATTTCATTGAGTTTGGAATCCGGCACCATCCATGCCCAAGGTCCACATTTCCTTCTCTCCTCCTAATAGCATAACGACGTTTAGAAGGAAAGCTTTCTGAAGCAAAAGTAAATTCCCACAGATGTCTGTCTTGTGTTTGTAAATCTCAGCATCATTGTGTGATTAGGTGGGGGATAAAAAGAGAACTTGAAATTATCCTTTTCTAATTCTTGTATAAAAGAGGAAGAAATGTGGTAAGAGAGGAAGAAATACAGTTCAACTAGAAGCACAGCATTCAACAGCTTGCAGTTTCATCCTGGCATTTCCGACCTTAGGTAAATCTCTATTGTTTCCTCTTCAGCAGTCTGTAAGATGGACTTACTAAGTTTTAAAGCGGTTGTTTACAGTGATTGTACATAAAGAACTTACACCTCTGGGTGCATAAGTATGACCTATAGAATTAATGGCTTTCTCAATTGTCAGTGTCTTGAAATTGTTTGGTGCTCATTAAGAAGATCGTTCAGAATATCAGTAGCTGTACTCCAGTTTTTTGGATCTCTTTCAGTGGATTTCAAAGCTGGATTGTAAATTCAAAGCAAACATGGCAAGGAAGAACCACAAGATTATTTTTATCACAGTTACAGCTGTTTTGAATTACTGAAACATAAAAACATGTAATGTTGCATACAAATATTAGGGCCAGCACTTTCCTAACCATAAGTTCTGATGTATAACCAAGATAGCCTTGCTTCATCTTTCTTGAACGGGCCTGTTACAACCTAAACTCATTCTGCAGTGGCTTTGAGCTTGTCTCTTATTTAAGCTAGAGGAGTAGAACCCTTTCAAGACTAATCCCTCCAATTTGCTTTCATCTGTTTACAATTATTCAGCCAGTGTTCTCCAACTGGGAGGAGCTGGAAAGGCAATCCTACAATGACAGGAAGGACATGTATGAATGGGTGTAAACAGAGCAGTGGAAAGCACAAGCCTAATCTCCATTTGCAAAGCTGTAGTGTGTTTCTACTGCTCCGTGGTGTTGTGCGGTGCGAGTGAACTACTGAGGCAAACCTATTCATCAGATACTAAATAGGCTAGCAAGATTTTCAGCTGCAGCATGTAAGGTGTGATCCACTGCTACTGAAATGACCTAATGGCTTGTGATTAGGGCGCAGTATTCAGACTGAGGGGGAGAAATCTGTCTCCCACAGCCTGACTCGCTGCCAGATCAGTGCGACTCACCTTTCAGCAAGTTTGAAAAGAGAAAAGCTACCTTTCTTTTTCAGACATGGGGCACTTGCTTTCAGGCAACTATCTTCACGTGCTGTTCTCACGCTCGCAAGGATGTTCCAGCTTGTACATGCACCGTGACTGAACATACTAGTAATGCCCAGAGATGTAACTGGGCCACAGGGAAACAGAATGTCTACATTGTTCAAAAATGTCAGTATGATGCATTTCATGGACATTGTCCTGCCACTGCAGGACATACATAGAAGTGGGGAGAAACTCTGTGGGGAGGGCAGGGGATGTAAGGCTAAGGAATATTGCTACTCCTGTGAGAAATGGAGTTTTGGTTCAGAGAGCTGACGTGAGGCAGAGAGGTGTAATCAGACCTGCAGGTGGAGGTGGACACCACACCACAGTCACCTGGGCATTCACAAATCTGGATTTGGTGTTTTGGCTCATCCAGTTACTGTGTTCACTAACTGAAAAAAAACTGTCGAGGTTTTTCTCTAGTACATGCTTGCCTAAAGGGAACCATTGTCCACTGGCTATAATGCTAGATTCTGGTTCATTTGTACCGGTTTGAACACAAATAGCCATGCATGACATACCCATTCTAGGCACAGCTGCAATAAAAAGAAAAAAATATCACAATGTAAGAGGGAGCCTGCCTAGCATCTTTTTCAAAGGTGCTCTCCATTGGCAGAACGGTAATAGGGTCCTGTTCAAGTGGCTGTAAAGTATCATGGTGTCGTGGTTTAACCCCAGTCGGCAACTAAGCACCACATGGCCGCTCACTCACACACACACCCCCCCCTGGTGGGATCGGGGAGAGAATCGGAAGAGCAAAAGTGAGAAAACTCGTGGGTTGAGATAAGAACAGTTTAATATTTGAAATAATAATATAATAATGATAATAAATTGTAATGGAGAGAGAGAAACTCAGAGGGAAAAAAAGAAAAAAAAACAGACAAGTGATGCAACTGCTCCCCACCCAACACCCAGTCAGTCCCTGAGCAGCGGTCACCGTCCCCTGGCCAACTCCCCCCCAGTTTATATACTGAGCATGATGTCATATGGCATATGACCCCTTTGGCCAGATTGGGTCAGCTGTCCTGGCTGTGCCCCCTCCCAGCTTCTCGCTGGCAGAGCATGGGAAGCTGAAAAGTCCTTGACTAGTGTAAGCACTGCTCAGCAACAACTAAAACATCGGTGTGTTATCAACATTATTCTCATCTTAAATCCAAAACACAGCACTGTACCAGCTACTAGGAGGAAAATTAACTCTATCCCAGCTGAAACCGGGACACATGGTTTTCGGTACTACCAAGTAGTATACCTTTATAACAACTTAGGAATATCTGTAGGACTATTAGATATTGATTGGACTTGCAAAAAACCCAAAACCATCTCAGTTAGCATGTCACTGTTAGTTGTTCTTATTTTGCTTTACAGTATTCTTTACTGTAGCTTTAACATGACTTAGGTATTGATTGATAAATTATTTTACCTGATGTGGTGTGGATGTCACAAAAAGGAGGGTGCTTCTGGTTTCCACGAAGGAAAGGGTCTTCAGTGGCTGAATATTTTGGAAATTGTTGTTTCCTGGCAGCAGGAAGTATATGTGCATTTCTCCACTTTCCCCCACCTATCTCTCCAGCTGTTTGTCATCTCCCTTTCCAGCGCAAAAGGAACAGTTCCCTTTTCCCTTGTTATTTCTTTTCCTCCCTTTCCTCCGCAATTCTCTATTCACCTTTCTTTGCATCTTAGGCTGTTGTGGTAAGGAATATGCAGTAAGAGGTCAACCATCATTGTGGGACAGGTGAGTCAGGGAAGAGCCCCAAACTGAAGTCACTCCCCCCGTTGTTGTTACTGAAGCAAGTGGAAAATGCTGCTACAGAACATACTTTTTTTTCAGCAGAAAATCCTCCTTTCCTTACCCCCCTCCTTCTGCCCCTGATTTTTCTGCCCTAGCAGTTGCAGGCAAAACAATTAAAATAACATTTGTTGTGGATAGAGAGAAGATAGACTAGGGATGCAGGAAGTAAATCTTTGGGGACATCTCAAAGGAAAGCAACCAGGAAGGTTGCTTTCATCAGTCGCCCGTTATTGCTAAAGGCCAGCAGCCTGTAAATGACAGTACAAATATGGCAAGTCACAGTTGGTAAGACTCCAAAAGTTTTCACATTCATTTTCATCTTCTTCCAAGAATGTGTCTGGGATTGTATGTAGAAACTCATTCCACTTAGTTTTCAGAAACTGAGAAGCAAAACCAAATTAAGCTAGTCTGACAGATAAATAATTGAAGAGAGGTGAAAACTCTGTCCCAATCATCGACTCCAGGAACAAAAGCAGAAACTTCCGAGAGCTTCAGTATCTTGCCTGGGCTAGAATTGCTCACATTTCAGCTGATTAGACTCTAGCATATCTTTACTTAGCCTATACAATTTTGTGTTTTTCTAAAGCTTGTTATCTTAGCACATTTTCATAGAGAAAGTTAAACAACTGGATCTGAAGAAAAAAACCCACACTTTGGAGGTGACATTTGACATTTGAAACCATTGTTAATTCTACAGGCAGGTGTTTAGAAGTTGCTGAACTGTTTCACTTCAAAGTTAATAAATAAAATGTTAAACTCACTTCTAGTAGATGCAAAGAAAATGTATGCAAAGTTACTTAACTGAGAAGAGGAATTTGTCAAAAGAAATATTTAATGATTTTATAATAAACAGTACTTTCAGCCGAACTATTAAAATAGGTGAATATCAAGCTTTTTGGTTGTTACATCTGTATAGTAATTTTAGAGAATCCACAAGGTCAAGGCTTTGCAAACAGCTCCTGGCCTTGTTCCAGTTCAAATACTGCTACAAAATTGCCTGGCATATATTTGTGCTTGTGGTGGGTTGACCATGGCTGGACGCCCGGTGCCCAC